AAGAATTTTTTTAAAAGCACTTTCACCTAGATTTAAAAACGAAAGCGAAACTTAAAAGAGAGAAAAAAAAACAACCGCCCCAGTTCCTTTCCCCTCAACCCCCAACAACTTGAAAGCAGTTACCTTTTAAACAAGATTCTTGTGGGAGAACTGTAAATACTGGCAGAATATTTAACATGCTTTGTCCGTCCTTCAGAATTAATTCCCTTTTTTGTTTTTAACTTTTAACCTGTAAAGTCGCGTATATTTGACAAGGAAACTCAACGAGCTATTACCGCTTTTCTTAGACGTACCCAATAGCATATCAGGATTGTAGGAGTCGAGGGTGAATCAGATTTTAGGGATAACCCTCAGGCGATGCTGGTTCCGATGTGGGGAGAGTGAAAATGGTCCGGGCCGGCAGCATTGGATGGGGCCGGATTCGGGTGCCGGCCCCGGTTGGCATTGCCTGGCTGTCGTGACGGGGGTGCCTTGTGAGCTTCGCCTGGCTGGGTTTGGAATCGGGAGGAAAAGGGGGTCCGTGTAACCTGTCTAAGTCCTGCTTCCTCGGAGGGGGTTGGTTTTGGTGCAGGGATGGGGGGGGTCGGTCCGGCGGGATCAACCCGGGCTTAAACGGGGAGATGCCGGCGCCGCGGGTCGGGGAGCGAGAACTGCTGCAGTCTCACGTTTTTACACTACATAACGTCTAAACCTACCTCAAATCTCAGTCATTATAGATGAGCACGCTTCAGACTTGTACGAAAACTCAAAATCTATGCACAGCTCTTTACCCCTTGCTGCTGAGAGGCTGTTTTTTCAAGCTAAAGCTTTTCCTTTCCCCGTCCTGGCGGCCGCGCTCGTCCCACCCGTGCTGAAGCCACGGTTGAGGGGCACTCACTTATGGGGGGGGGCATGTTTTTAATCGCTTCAGGGTGGGATGGGGACCTAATTTTGCAGCAGGTCGTGGCCACAATGGTGCTAGAACAACGCCCGTGGTAGAAACCCTGGGGAGAGCTGGGCTTGGGGAGCCCCGATGGGCTCCTTCCACCCCGCTTTGGCTTTTCCAGCCACGGTGCTTCACTTCGGGCAAGAAATGGGAAGTGTTTTGGGGTTCCCCCACCTTTTTGTCACTCTTGGGACAACGGGAAGGAGAAGGAAAGCAGAATCCCTGAGGTGCCTCAATTGCTGATTTTTCCTTTTAATACTGGAGTATGCTTTGTGGGCTCTATAAGGCATATTTTTATTCAATGAAATCTTGTAATCAAAACGGTGCTAACGGTGTTTTAAAAACTGTATCACGCTTCTGCCTGATTCCATCTCGCTGAGGTGCTACTAATGTATATACGAAACTCGGGAACCAAGAAAACAAAACAAAAAGCAATGTCGTGGAGAAGGAAGTTTACTTTTCCGGAGCGACAGCTCGAAGCGTGCCAGGAGCCACTTGGGTTTATGCAAACCGAGATCGGAGCCGTTCCCCTCCGGAGCGGGGCCAGGGTGCTGATGTGGTGCTTGGATGAGGTGCTCAGTTGAGGTGCTCAGCCACAGATCGTGGAGGTGGTGGTTGGATGTGGTGCCTGGGCTCAGCCAGGGTGTGTGAACATGGTGCTCAACAGCGGTGCTTGGACGTGGTGCTCAAGCATGGGGCTCGGACGTGGCGTGTGGACACGGTGCTCAGCCAGACATCGTGGATGCGGTGCTTGGATGTGGTGCATGGACACGGGTGCTTGGCCAGGGTGTATGGACATGGTGCTTTGGGCACGGTGCTCAGCCATGCATCATGGACATAGTGCTCAGGCATGGTGCTTGGACGTGGTGTGTCAACACGGTGCGTGGACATGGTGCTTGACCACGGTGCTTGGACATGATGCGTGGACATGGTGCTCGGGCGCGGTGCTCAGCCATGCGTCGTGGACATGGTGCTTGGACGTGGTGTGTCAACATGGTGCTTGACCACGGTGCTTTGGACATGGTGTGTGACCACAGTGCATGGACATGGTGCTTGACCACGGTGCTCGACCGCGGTGCTCCAACATGGTGTGTAGAAATGGTGCTTGGGCACGGTGCTTGGCCACGCACCATGGACGTGGTGCTTGGGCACGGTGCTCTTGCTGTGGTGCGTGGACACAGAGCTCAAGCACAGTGCTCAACCGTGGTGCTCGGGCATGGTGCTTGTCTGCACACCATGAGTATGGTGTACGGACGTGGTGCTCACCAGGGTATGTGAACATGGTGCTCAGTCACGGTGCTCGGTTATGGTGCTCGACCGCGACGTGTGGACATGGTGCTCGGCCACAGTGCTTGGACACAGTGTGTGAACATGGTGCTCAGGCAAGAGGTGTGAACATGGTGCTCAGCCTGGTGCATGGGGGTGCTGTGCATGGACAGCGCATGGTGCACAGCCACGGTGCAAGGGCATGGCATGTGGATGCAGTGCTCCGGCACCGTGCATGACCACGGTGCTCAGACACGGTGCTTAGATGCGGTGCTCGGTGCACAGTCGCAGTGCACGGCCATGGTGCTCGGGGACGGTGCTTGGGCACGGGGCGAGGGCATGCTGCATGGACATGGTGCTTGGGCATGCTCCACACGTACGGTGCTTGGGCATGGTGCTCGCCGACCGTGCACAGACACGGTGTTTGGCCATGGTGCTTGGGCATGGTGCTTGGCACCGTGCATGGATGTGAAGTTTGGCCATGGCGCCCTGTGGTCGAGCACCGTGC